TAGGCGCCTAGGAGCAAAATTATGGCATTATTTTAAGACAAGCATCTGGTACCCAAGCATGGTTTCACAAAACATGTTTCACTTTTGCTATGGAGGCAAGTGCACCAGGGCCAGGTTAGGATGTTCCAAACTTTCTAAAATGAGTATATAATTACTTTTTTTTTTTAAAAATCTAAGACGAAGTTGGCATTGGTTTCCTAATGTTTATACTCTGTAGTAAAGAGCACACACACACACACAAATACCAACCTGGTTAGTAACCCTCCCAACCCCAATTGCCAGTGTCTTTCCCCATCATCAACCAATGAAAGAAAGAAGTGATGAATGAAGAGCACCAGCTAGGATGCTCTTGGGAGTCCCAGCCAACAAGGAATACACCCTACCTCTGTGAATCGGTCACAGTCAACAATTCGGAAAGTTTTGCCATAAATTGTGATGTTTATTGCCCGATTGAGGTCTTTCCAGTGGTAATGGTCTCCTACATCATTCTTCGCTAGCCGCTGGCGTTTGACTAGCTTGCCTTGTGGGATCCCAGAGTTCTCCACCACTGGCTCTATGATAGACATGCTGTCATCCTCTAGATAGTAGTAGATGTTCACTTGGCGAATTCGATAGTGCTCCTCGGTTGATACAGGAACATCTTCTTGGAAGTAGGCGCTAAATTTCAGCACCTGTAACACACGAGGAGGGTTTTCAATATGATCTGAGAAACACAGCTATAATACAGGAAAAGTTGAACAACAACCAGCATAGACTCATTGGGAAGCTTCTAAAAAGGCACCCTCATGTATTTGGAAACATGTACATTCCGTATAGATCAAAGCTTAGTCTTCTGAAGAGTATCCATTCAGTGTGAGGTCAGACTCACTGGGGTGCACATTAAAAATAATTAAACCATATGATAAAAGCATATATTGACATGTTGTGGGATCACTCTCCATTACTGGTACTTTATTTAGTGTTTCTTTCCAGAGAAACAAGGCATTGGAATTATGTTCTAGGTAGTCAAGAGTCTACCCAAACCTCCCTTAGTAAGGTGAGAAGGGGGTAAAGTTAAGATGCTGAAATTAAGACACGTGTCTTAATCAGTGAGAACAGATAAGTACAGACTTTTAAAAGTAGAAAATCAAGATTAAAACCAAAAATAACTAGCTACCTCCTAGGAAAACTATAAATGTAAAGGAAGGAATTCCTTAAAATTCCAAAGAGAAAGATGGAAAGGGACACATTTCAATGATACATTTAAAGGAAAAGGGGAAAAAGAACCATGTTAAAGTAATATTTTGAATCAAATGCAAAAACATTCAAAAGGAGAACACCACTACAGTAACACATAGGGTGTGTTTGAACCACAGATTTATAAATGTACAAAACATTAAAGTCAGAATTCATCAGCTAGCTCAACGTCACTACTTTTACAAAGGAAGAAACTTAGATTCCAGACTGGCAAAGCGACATTTTTAAGGCCATACATGAGCCAGAGCTGGGACCAAAACTCTATTGGGTCCATGTTGTCTGCACACACTTCTTAGATGATGGGGTCTACAGTGATTTGGAAGAGAAATCCAGAAGGAAAAAGTGGTCAAACTACTTAAAACTGAGAAGTGTTACGTTTGAGGTATAAGGAAGTTTTAGATAAAGCTGAAATGAAAAGGGAGGGATTCTAGGCAATGGTGACAAGAGGCAGGGGGAGGAAACTTGGGAGCAGTATGCACAGTATGGAGGCCAAGTGTGAGTTCTCCTGAGGAACAGGTCTGCAATAGTGAGCGACCACCATGGAACGGCAGGAGGAGACTGACTGGATCAATGATGGGGTATGGGGCAGATGAGCTACTGAGGAAAATACGGTGCTAGCAACACAGCTACCCCATAGAAAGGTAAACGTAAGAAGACAGGCCTGACTACGCACACAGTTAGGTGAAATCTGAATGTTTTAACTTACAGGATAGTACAAGGTGATACTGTAGGGAGTAATTTAAGATACTGGACTGGATTACTTTTAAATAATACAAGAGATAGCAAATTCCTTTAACTTTATTTTTATTTTACCTTCTGTGTATGAATGTTTTACTTGTGTGCCTGTTGAGTCACCTGGCACTGGGGTTATAGATGGCTGTGAGCCACTATATGGGATCAACCCAGGTCTTCCGCAAGAGCAACACATGTCTTAACAGCTGAGCCCTCTCTCTAGCCCCTCAAATTCTTAAGACTATTCTTTTTAGCTCCTAGCAGACAGTCAGTATAGATTAAACCTAGTTTCCTATCTATAAACGAACTGTTATTATCAGAAAATTTCATAAAAATTTAGAAAGGCTAAATAATGTACACACCTTAGTTCTTGCTTTATAGTAATTTTATTACATTGAGATCCACATTTTAAGCTTTACCTGCCTCTGTGTGTGTGTGCATGCTTGTGTGTGTGTGTGTGCAAGTGCTTGCACATGTGTATGCTCACACATGTGTTCAAGTACCTTTGGAGGCCAGAAGAGGGCCTTGGTGTCCCTGGAACTGGAGTTACAGACAGTTTTGGTTGTGAGCCACCATGTGAGTATTGGTTTGAACCTATATTCTCTAAAGAACAGCCAATGTTCCTAACCACTGAACTCTCTCTTCAGCCTACTGACTAAATTTTAATAGTCATTTGCCTCTTATTAAGAACTAAGAGTTTGGTATTTCAATGTCTAGTTTCTTGAGTTCTTTATATATTTTGGAGATAAGTCCTCTTTCCGATATGGGGCTGGTGAAGATATTTTTTCCCATTCTGTAGGCTACCGTTTTGTCTTATTGACTGTGTCATTTGCCATACAGAGGCTTCTCAGTTTCAGGAAGTCCCATTTATTAATTATTGCTCTCAGTGTCTGTGCTATTGGTGTTATATTTAGGAAGTGGTCTCCTGTGCCCATGCATTCAAGGCTACTTCCCATTTTCTTGTCTATTAAGTTCAGTATGGCTGGATTTATGTTAAGGTCTTCAATCCATTTGGACTTGAGTTTTGTGCATGGGGATAGGTATGAATCTATCTGCATTCTTCTACATGCAACCACCAAGTTTTGCCAGCACCATTTGTTGAAGATGTTTTCTTTTTTCCATTGTATAGCTTTAGCTTCTTTGTCATGGTGTTCAGAGGTGTGTGGACTAATATGGGGCTATCAAGAAACCTGGCACCAGGGAAATTCCTAGGAATCCAGAAGGATGACCACAGTTATCACCCTAAGCATTAGTGGAGAGGGTGCCTGAACTAGCCTTCCCTGTAATCACATTAATGACTATCTGAATTATCATCATAGAACCTTCATCCAGCAACTGATGGAAGCAGATGCAGAGATCCACAGTTAAGCACTGGGCTGAGCTCCCAGTGAGAGGGAGGATGGATAATATGAGCAAAGGGGTCAAGTCCATTTTTGAGATACCCATAGAAACAGCTGACCTGAGCTAGTGGGAGCTCACTGAATCTGGACTGACAGTAGGGGAACCTGCATAGGACCAAACTAGGCTCTCTGAATGTGGGTGACAGTTGAGTGGCATGGGCAGTCTGTAAGGCCACTGGCAGTGGGACCAGGTCTATCCCTAGTGCTTGAACTGTCTTTTGGAGTCCATTCCCTATGGTGGGATACCTTACCCAGCCTAGATATAGGGGGGAGGGTCTTGGTCCTTCCTCAAAGACATGTGCCAGACCTTGTTGACTCTCCATGGGAAGCCTTACCCTCTCTGAAGAGTGGAGGGAGGTGGGGTGGGGGGAAGGTGGAGGGAGCAGGAGGAGGGGGGTGGGGACTGGGATTGGTACGTAAAATGAGAAAACACAAGAGAGGGAGGAGTGAATATATGAGCAAAGGAGGTCAAGATCATGATGGAGAAATCTACAGAGACAGCTGAACCAAGCTCGTGGAAACTCATGAACTCTAGACTGAAAGCTGTGGAGACTCCAGGGGACTGAACTAGCTCCTCCCTATGTGGGAGACAGTTGTGAAGCTTACACTAGTGGAGGGATCCCTGGCAGTAGGACAACAACACAAACCTGGCACATGAGCCAGCTTGTTAGAGCCCTTCCCTATGGTGGGATGCTATGCTCAGCCTTAATGTATGAGAGAGGGGCTTGGCCCTGCCCCAACCTATTGTGTCAAACTGTTGCCTCTTCATGGGAGCCCTTATCTGTGAGGAAGAATGGACTGGGGGTGGGCTGGGGGTGGGGAGGCGAGGGGGGACCAGAGGACGGGTGGGAGGGAGAACTGTGGTTGGAATGTATAATGAAATTTAAAAGAATAAATTATAAAAATAACTTTAAAATGAAAAAAGTTTTAAAATAAAAAATGATAAAAAAGAATACGAAGTTGTAGGACCCTACAAGGAAGCAACTGAGAATAATGTTAACACAACAAGCTCTTAACAGGTTGTTAGGATAACAGCTGTACTAGGTAGAATGGGAACCTGATAATATGTAGAAGAAGGGGAAAATAATATTTAGATACTCTATTTAAAAATGTATCTTTTCACTGAATCTTACAGTGGCCTTGGCTCCTGGTGGTGTGTTCAAACCTCCTGAGTTTGTAGAGATCATATTACTTGTTTGAACTTTGAAAATGATAGAGGAAACGAAAGAGAAATACTTGTCTTGGCATCTCATTGAATGTGGGGAGAAAACGTCAAGCAGGGATGCTCAGAGTCCGAATTGAGAGAGCAGGTCTAGTGGTACTGGGGGCTGGCTAATGATGGGAGTCAAAAAAGCACAGGCTAAGTATGAAGAACAGCTCACCCAGGTAAGGGTTTCCCTCTCAGGGACGGCCTGAGGCTAAGGTCTGGAGTTCAGTGAGGACAGAGACTAAAACGAAAACTGAAGGTTGTCTGCACTGAGGAGACAGTTGAGGCCACAAAAGTAGGTAAGATCTCCTAAGAAGGGAAATTCAAGAAGGAGCACAGAAACTTGCAGGGAGACCAGAGAATCAGCAACCTGACAGGGAGGAGGGAAACCAGGAGAGGGAGGAGTCATGTACAAGCAAAGAGTAGAGCCTGGGAGGGAAGGGAGGAGTATCAGAGAGCTGAAACAGTGTCTAGTAAAAGGACCATGGACACCTCTCCAAACTCAGCAAACAGGGCAACACTGCGATCTTGAGAAAGCGTTTGTGGTTCAAGGATGAGGTAAGATTCTCTTCCTAAAGTAGTCAGAGGTAGGAGGGTTTTGTTTTTGTTTTGGGGCAATATGAACTTTGCTAGAGAAAAGCAAGTCACTAGAGTGTTTGAAATTGAAATAGCACCAATGATGAGAGGGTGGATGATTGAATGAATGAGATCTTGTTAAAAACAGAAAAGATGGAGATGTTTTCAAGCTATTTTGCACTTCGTGGAGATTTAGGATTCGTTGTTGCAGAATAGGTGGGAAACAGCAGATGAACATAGTGTAGCATGAATGTGGGGTTTGGAATCCGGGCAACTTTTAACTGCATTTGGAAAATATTCTGGGGAAGTCTACAGGGAATTATTTTCTGTAATCTGCTTCCTGCCTGGAGAAAGCCTCTTTCAAGGCCCAGTTCCGCTGTCTGTGACTAACAGTTGAGGCATCTGAGCAATTTTCTCTTAGAGTACTCAAGGAATTCTGTGGTTTACTGATAACATTTCTGCAAGTGGTCCAGTCCTAGACATCTGAAGTCAACATTTACCCTAAAATCCCAGACGATACCTTTTTGTCAAAAGCCACATGAGCAGGAACAAACTCTGCAGGTGGTGCCTGCCTGGGTGGGCCGTAAGTTAAGATGGGTGCCTTATTGGCCAACTCATCCAGCTCAGCCTGCGACAGCTGGTTGTAGGGGAGCCGGTCCCCACCTATCCCCACGGTCGGGCGTCGGACGACTGCATAGCCGTTTCTGTAGCCTAGCGTCTGGCTTCTGTGGAATGCTGTTTTCTAAAGGAAAAATGTATGCCATTAATAACCTCATAGAAATCGTGAAGTAAAACAACTAACTCTCTAAACTATCACAGTTTAAACTTTTGCTTTAAAAAATGTGCTTTAAAATGATGTGTATGAGTGTAGATGTGTGCATTTGAGGGCAGATACCCTCAGATTCCTTGGGCCAAGATGGATATGAGCCACCTGATGTAGGTGCTGAGAATTGAACCCAGGCCCTCAGTTTTTGCTCTTAAATGCTGAGCCTCCTTTCAAGCTCCAAATGTTTGCTTTTCAGCATCACAAAATGTACACCAAAGCTTTTCACTGCATTAAAAGGGCCCTTTTAAAAATTAATTAACTAATTTTATATCTGGGCCCCCGTTTTCCCTCCATCCTGCCTCCAAATTTCCCTCCTCCCCCAAAAGGGTATTTTAAACCAAAAGACTTGGTCAGGGAGAAAGGAAGGAAGGTTAAAATAAAACTACTCTGCTCTGTGATGTCTGGCTTACCTTATCTCTACCACACCTATACCTACCCCATCTATACTCTAATTTATTTTCGCTGATCTTGTATTTCTTCTTCTCTTGGTGCTCATGGACAATAGCCTCAGAAGATCTGGTTTTCTGAATTTTAATTTCACCTCCAGCAACAGCTCTTCTTATTATATTGACCCTAACACATTCATACAAGTTTTTGGAAAGCAGCTTGCCAGCATATATGTAAACATTCAGTAATCCTACCCTTTTCTTAAAGATACAGCCCCAATTATGACAGGCTTGAAGCTAATCATAATAGTGACAAATATATGAGTGTAAATATGCTTAAATGTTGGAAACAATCTAAAGGACAAACATAAAGAAGAAAAGAAATGATGGAAATTCCATTCACTGGATTACTGTGCAGGAATTAAAATAGTTTTAAATACTATCCAGCAGTCTGGTGAAGTATTTACAATTTATTAAAACATCATATGAAATTGGGCATCATATAAAATTATATAAATGCACTACAATTATAAGCATACAAACTGGACTTGGTGAACATTCTGTATTCTATATTTCTGGATTATGTTCATTTCTGCAGTGATACATTTGTTATCATTGAAAATGTGAAAAATATAAAACATTAAATAAAGGGGAAGAATGAAATAGAAGTTATGTTAATTCAGTGGGTTTTATGTTCTTTGCAATGTTATGTTCTAGTAGTATATATGCAATATAGCTAGATATTATGCATATATGATTTATATATAATCAAAATTTATTTTTATTAAGAATAAAAAGATTTACTTGCCTAGCTTCCAATTTCTTTGGAGTTCAGCCTACTATCTTACCATCAAAGGAACAGCAGTATGGATTTCTGCTAAAAGAGTTATGGAGCACAGACCTTTCTTTAAGGGTCATGTATTCTAGTCCAAGTCATTTTATAGGAGCTGCACCAGATTCCTAACACGGAGACATAGAATAAGATGTACTAAACTGGGCAATGTGCATAGCTCCAAGTTCCTCTTTGCAACTCCTCAAGACAGAGGCAATATCATTAGGAGGCTGATAGTATAGCTTGGTGCTGGTGTACTTAGCATGTTCAAAGACCTAGGTTCAATTCCCAGCATCAGAAGTAGGGGAGAGGGCTGGGAGATGACTTGGTAGGTAAGGGTTACTAATCAGCATGACTGACCACCTAAATTTGATCCTTGGAACCCACATGGTAGAAGGAGAAAACTCCCAGACATCATCTTATGACCTCTCCACATACTCGACGGCAACCCCTCCCCCAAAAATTATGAAATAAAACATCAATAACCTCGGTTTATTTTCTTTGTGGTTAGCACATGTTTCTCGAATAAGTCAACTATATCCCCGGACACCCCAGACAAGGCCTTTTTAGGTCTCCTCCCTTCTGATTCATTAGGGTTCACCTTCTGGACACATTTTCTTTGGAGTTCCAACATTCCTTCACTGATGAAGATGCAGTTACCAAGGTTTTCCAATTTCAAGTAAGGATAATTAATTGACAGTCACTCAGTATATTTCATATGAAGTAGGTCCAAGGCAGTTCAGCTTTTCATATCAATATTTAAAGTCTGGTATTTCTAGCCACAGCTCTATAATCTCCCAAATCAACTCAAACCTACCTTATGGGTAACCCACACTCACGGACACCGAATGTTTCAGCTGATTCTGTACAGCATGGGAAAACGTCTACAAATTTTTTAATTATATGAAATTTAAAGGCTCACTGAAATGGCAAATCTGTGGTGCTGGCTAGGCACAGTGGTTCATACTTTTAATTTCAGCACTTGAGACACGGTGGCTGGAGTTCATCGTGAGTTTGAGGGCAGCTTAGGTTACACAGTGAACTTCAGGCCAGTCTGGCTAAAAAGGAGACAGACTGTGTCTCAAACAAACAAACAAACAAAAACAACAACAGAGAAACACATGCAGGGAGCTTGCATCTTTAAAAAAGTGACAATGTTATATCTTAATGCAAGAGTAGAAGAGAGTCAGAGTCTCCATTCTATCCACACTTTCCACTGAAATTGAAATTGATATCCCCTAGAAAACAAGCAGACTAAATCATTTTCATTAAAAGTGTGAAGTCAACGAGTCTGAATTATTAAAACTATACAAACATAAATTACTACTGGCTCACCCACGTGCATCACTCTACCGAATCTCCATGCTGATTCTCCAGAATATTTTTGTAACTCCGTTAGAATTAAAACAAATGCTGGGAGCATTTAAGAGCTAGGCAGGGGTGTGTGTACAGCTCGGTTGGTATCCTGTTTGCCTGTCACTCACAAAGCTCTGGCTTTGGTGACCTGATTGTAATCCTAGCACTCAGGACCCCAGGCTATACAGTAAATTTGAAGCCAACCTGGGCTACATGAGACCCCGTCTCAAAATAAATGACTAAATAAATAGCTACACTATGTCAAGAAGAGACCAAGAAACCAAACTACTGTTGCAGCTGGGCTTTGACCCGGGGCAATTTTATTTTGTTGTTGGTGGTGTGGTTGATTCTGAGTGTGTTGAGGGGTGCACGTGCCTGTGTGCATGTATGTGGCCTTACATGTGAAAGACGGAAGATGACATGGGAAGGCTGCATCAAAGGGCCGGTCCTGCTAAGCAGCCTGCATGTGTTCTAGTGATCTGAACTCCACTGCTCTCATGTGAGCAGCAAACCACCTCCCAACCTCATGGGTGCCTTCTTTTCATGCCGTTCTTGTTCTGTCTGCTTTGGATTTGTCACTGTTTGGAGACAGGCACCGGCTGTGTAGCCCAGGCTAGACTTAAACTGGCCATCCTTATGCCTTAGCTCCCTGAAAGCTGTGATCAAGGATGTGCGCCACGACACTGGACTTTTTTAATTTCGTCTAGACAGTAAATAAAAACAGTGGGGGGAGAGTAAAATACAATCTCAATAGGGGTCTTTGTGCTGGCATGCCTTTAACCTGAGCGTTTCTGGAGGCTGAGGCAGGTTGTTTTCAAGTTCAAGGTCAGTCTGGGCTGCACACAAGACACAGCAAGCCTCCTCACCAACACACACACAGTCTGAAAAGGAAATAGATGATAGATAGGTAGATACATAGATATTTTAAGAATGTAAAACAGGCTACGGAAAGAGAAAACACCAAGTGGTCCGTGTGGTTGAGTTAAGTGAGATGGGAGAAACACAAATTAGAGAGGAGGAAGGTAGGAACCCTCAAAAGAGAAAATACAAGAAAACCAAGATGATCTGGGGAGGGATTCAGTTCTAAACTACGATGACGCTGGAGAGAAAAGTGACCCTTAACTAAGAAGCCCAGAGAATGGGGGGGGGGGTGAGTGGGGTGGGGGGAGACCCGTCAGGAAAGGAGTTCATGGAAAGGGCTGAGAGGATTCCGAAGAGGTCCCAAGTGAGGCTGCTTGAGAGAGGAGGTAGGGGAGGATGAAGGCAGAGAGGGTGAGTAGGGTAAAAATGCATCTGGGGGAGGCGTGGCGATGGCTTGGAGTAATGGGGCCAGAAGGCAGGTTAGACGGGGCAGGAAAGTAAGAGCAGGGCCTCAGTGAGGACCCAGAAGGTGTGTGGACTACCAAGAGCCCGAGCGAGGGCTGGTGTGCGGGAGGGCGGTGGAGCCTGCGGGACGGAGGAGAGCAGAGGCGCGCCGCGTGGAGAACCCTTCCGACTGGTCCTCACCGTCGAGTCCGTAAAGGACGAGCCCGGGAGAAAGGGCAGGCCGTGCACCGGGTTGGTCACCATCGCAGCTGTGCAG